ACATAGTCACCCGCGGACTGCCAGTCACAGAACAACCTCGTCGACTGGCGTCGGACAAATAAGCTTTCGCTAAACGCGAGTTTGACAATTTATTAGCTACTGGTACTATTCGTCCTTCTCACAGTTCATGGGCCTCTCCTCTTCATATGGTACGCAAAAAAGATGGGGTTAAATGGAGACCATGCGGCGACTACCGAGCCCTAAACGTAGTTACGCGCTTTGATAGCTACCCCATCCCCCACATAAACGACATCACGGCATCGCTCAAGGGCACGACTATCTTTTCTAAGATCGATTTGGTACGAGCATATCAGCAGATCCCAGTCGCTCTTGAAGATATCGAAAAAACTGCTATCACAACTCCTTTCGGTTTGTTTGAGTTCCTACGAATGCCTTTTGGATTACGGAATGCTGCTCAAACTTTTCAAAGGTTTATCGATAGCATTGTACGAGACCTAGATTTTGTTCACGTCTATGTTGATGACCTGCTAACCGCATCATCAAAAGTAGATGAACATTATCAACATCTTACGCTATTATTCCAACGCCTTTCGGATAATAGAATAGTAGTTAACCCAGACAAGTGCGAGTTGGGTAAACGAGAAATAATATTCCTGGGTCACATTATCAAGCAAGAGGGTATTCTACCTTGCGAGGACAAAGTGCAAGTAATAAAGGAGTACAACGTGCCGTCCTCACTCAAGGAACTGAAGGCGTTTCTCGGTTTGATTAACTCCTACCGTCGTTCCATCCCACACGCGGTAGAACGGGTACGATCACTAACCGACTTACTTCGAGGCAACCCACACAGATTATAAATGAACGATTCTGCACGTACTGCATTAACAGAGATCAAAGCGGCTCTAGCGCAAGCCACTCTTCTCGCCCATCCCGATCCATCAGCCACGTTTAGTATAGCGGTTGATGCATCCGATGTCGTTATAGAAGCAGTCACGCAACAAAACATCTCCGGTAGTTAGCAACCCCTCGAGTTTTTCTCACGACGCATTACTCTCGCGGAGACGAGATATAGCGCTTTTGGTCGCGAGCTTCTAGCAGCCTACTGCGCCATCAAACATTTCCGGCACGCAGTAGAAGGACGTCACTTCATCTTATTCACCGACCATTAGCCCTTAACGTATGCTTTGCATACCAAATCTGACCGCTACTCACCACGAGAGTGCAGACATTTGGACTATATCTCCCAGTTCACGACAGACCTTCGTCACATTAAAGGCGAGTCGAACTATGTTGCAGATGCTTTGTCACATATCCAAGCGAATGCAGTTACTTTACCGGTGCTCGATCTTCCTGCTATGGCCGCCGCCCAAGCAAACGAGCTCTGTTGTACAAAAGCACCACACTCTACGTCCCTTCAGTATCAGGAAGTACCTCTAGCCACGAATTCTGGCACCGTCCTATGCGATACTTCTACCGGTCTTCCTCGACCCATCGTACCTTCTGCTTATCGCCGTCTCGTATTCGATGCCCTGCATGGATCATCTCATCCAGGTATCGCAGCTACATTACGTCTCATCGCTGCACGATACGTCTGGCCGTCCATGAAAAAAATGTTCGTATGTGGGCGAAGCAATGCATACAGTGTCAACGATCAAAAGTGCACAGGCACGTAGCCGCCTCCCTTGGCACATTTGCTACGCCTGATGCTCGCTCCGATCACGTTCACTTAGGCATTGTAGGACCACTGCCACCATGGGTGTGATCACATACTCACGTGTATCGACCGTTTCACCAGATGGCCCGAAGCTATACCCATCACGTCTGTCACAGCGGAGACAGTTGCTCACCGCTTCGTAGAACGATGGATAGCTCTACATGGTTGACCCTCGACCGTCACGACTGACCGAGGACAATAATTTGAGTTCGCATTATTCTCCTCACTTAATCGCCTGCTTGGTACGGAACGCATACGCACTACTGCCTACTATCCAGCTTCTCATGGTTTGGTTGAAAGGTTTCACCGCCAACTTAAAAGTGCTCTACAAGCACACGAAAACGAAAACTTGTACGAAACCTTACCGCTCGTTCTCTTAGGCATCAGAACGAGCTTGAACGCAGATATCCAATGTTCCGCCGCTGAACTTGTATACAACACGACATTGCGCCTGCCTGGAGAATTCTTCACACCACGGAGCAGACCTAATTTCGGTAAATCAGACTACGTCCGACGACTGTCTGTATTTATGCGAACGCTGTCTCCGGTGTCACCTCGAATACAACATCGACAGGTCGCCCCCCCTCGAGAGTTATCTACCTGTTCACATGTTTTCATACGAGTAGACTCGGTACGCAAACCCTTGCAACAACCTTACGAAGGCCCTTTTCGCGTGATCGCTCGTCACGGAAAGACCTTCAAGGTTGATCGACATGGCCGCGTCGAGATCGTCAGCATTGATCGTCTCAAACCAGAACACGTCGATGACAGGGCCCCATCTGATAACCTGAGATTCAATGCTAGACCTATCAAACCAACTAGCGGGATCCTCAAACCATCTTCAGATCCCACGCTAGATACACCTGAGACCCCATCCCCACGTCCTGGTCAACAGCACGCGTCGTCTGCACCGTCTACGGACGAGACGATAGTCTCACGTCCAGATCAACAGACCACGCCGCCCTTGACGGATGAAATTGCAGGCTCGCGCGACGCGAACGAGACTGTCGTCTCACGTTCCAGTCGCCGAGTGCGGTTGCCTGTACGCTTCCGCGACTAGCCGCATAGTTAACAACCGATTTGGTGTAGGACTATTCCTGTACTACACGTATGCTACACTCTTCCCTTATTTGATTTTTTTCCGTAGCCTAAGCCCACGCCTTCGACCATCCCTGTTTGGTACCGTCGACTCCAGCCGACTTCGGCGAAAGCTGGCCCTATCACCCACGCTCTTGTCAACGCACTCAGTCGATATTCTGGTTTCGAATGCTTGGCACACGCTTGGTCTCGGACTTGGTCGTTATGGTCGCTTCTGGTTCCTCGGCTCAACGTGGTTTCGTCATACGTCTGGAGCGTTTCTGGTCCGCATCCCTGGGAACGCAATCTTCAGATCCTGGCGACAAACCACTCTGGTGTAGTATGCCAACTCAAGCAACAAATACAGCACATCGCTCCTGGTACCGTTCTCCGAAAAAGACCTTCGTTGGCAATTCGACGATCAACGATCGCTTTCCTGATCCGCCAATTTTTCTGTCCTACAATCGCTCGTCAGCCGATCAGTCCCAGGATTAAAACCGCTATTTATCGAAAGTGTAAACCCTTTCTAGCGGAGGGCTCGTGTAGCGACTCACTTTTATCACCAGAACACGACTGGTTTGATGAAAACAATTATTAATATAACCAACTGTACCAGTGCTTGTTTTAATGTGCTTTTGTTTAACTGTGCTAATTACAGCCATTCTGTGCTTCCATTACCTTTCATCAATGTTCCGCGGTTTTTGGCTTTGTTCGCACGTACCCCATTCTCCTGTTTTCGCTTGTACCATTTCTTGGCACGATCTTGGTATTCGTTTGATACCATGAGATCGCCAACGAAATAAATCTGGTTACGTTCAACCTTCGCCTTCTGATTTGTTTGGTACGCGTTTCCTTGTAGTGGCGTTCATAGTCAATCTCGACTCGACACAACTCTACAGTATCTCGACGTAAACCAGATTCTTTCTTAAAGGAAGCATGAATAAAGAACGAGTTTTACATGTCTCATTAATTTACTAGCAGCATATGAGCTATTAAAAACCAAAAGTTACATAAAGTTGCAGCCTACATTAATTTCAGCTAAGCTTTTAGCAAAGATCCCCACAACTGACTGTCATATAAGTTAAGTAACATCGGGGTTGAAGGCCATTTATTAATGTACAGGTGAACCTCAAGTTACCTAACTGGGAGATTGTACTTAGCAGAGTGCATTACGGTACAGTTTTAGGGTCAGTGTTGTTCCCCTTGTATGTAAATGGCCTTCCAAGTCTTCTGTCATCATCGGTCTTACTATATGCTATATGCTGATATGGGGGGTAACAGAAAGTAAACGTGATAATTTCTTCAGGTTATTTTGAAGCTCTAAGCTATTTGAATGGTCTCAAAATCGGCAGTTGCCGATAAATACTTTCAAGTGTATTGTGACTTATATTGGTCATCAGGGTACAGATACATACACGATGAATAACGTTGAGCTACCTGTTGTCCAGACACACAATGACTTGAGAGTCATCGTTATCCAAGACCTAAAATCTGCTGCACACCTCAGTGCGATAGCCACCAACGGTTTTAGAACCCTATGGTTAATATGTAGGGCCTTTAGACATGTTCATGCCAAAACTTTCTTGACTTTGTATACGGTATTTGCGAGTCCTTAACTCGAGCACTACATACAAGCGGCTAGCCTCTGCCTAAAAAGACAGTGAGCCTCTGGGAAATGTTCAGAGGACAGCAGTTAAGTTGATTCCTGGTATAGTGAAACTCAAGGATGATGCTCGACTGGCTAAACTAGACCTATTTCCATTGTCACATCGAAGAACCAGAGATGACTTGACCATAGTTTTCAGATTACTTAGTGATAAATTTGCATCGGATATTCCCTCATTCTTCTTGTCTTTCAAAAAATAAAACTCACGAGGATACTTCAAAGACGTTCACAAGCCTAAGACAAATAACTTGTCAACTGACTATCGACTTTCCCATCGAACCACCGACGAATGGAATTCATTACCTTAACACGCAATTGAAGCCCCATCTGTCGACGCTTCCAAAAAAGTTTGATCAAGCGAGAGGTCACCATCACCAGGACTAACACAGGCCACCTAGCTTCCTGTCCCTTCTAAAATGAGACTGATTGTTGCAAGTTGCTAAAAATTCCCAATAAGCTAAAAATTCGGCAAGTCACAATCATGAATTCCCGCATAAAGTGGGGTTAATGAGGCTGTACTGCTATACTATAGCGAAATAAAGCATATAGCAGAAAATATTAAATTGTACAATAGTTGAGTTAGTTATTTAACACCTCCGCCACACGTCTTTCTTCTGTGTTGGTAGGTGTACAATTTCCAACGTAAGTATGGGTTTCTGAACTTTCCATTCATACAATCAGTTAGCCGTTTTCCTTAATACTAAGTAATGGTGCTATTCAATGAAAAGAAAGTTTTTTTCATGGAATTAGAACTCTGATTTCACTTGAGTGATTTAATACGCCTTGTGTTGTGTTCATACCCAGTCTATGGACTCTTTTAGGAAGAAAATTGGTCGATGACTTACTTTTCTGAAAGTCCAAAGTTGATGAATACTGGAATCTCCCTGCTTTGACCCTACAGGACTATAATTGATGAACTAATCAAGCAGATAACAGAAAGCAACTCTTGAAATTTGTCACAGAATTTATTCATCTATATGGCTGTATATTTTGACATTGTAGCTCACAAAACTTCGTGGTGCCAAAGTCAACTTTATTTTGCAGTTTTAATCCTTAAACTCTTGATCTTACATCATTCTTTAGTAATCAGGATCAGTGGAATATCGACCTACATTAATCATTGCAGTTTGTAACACTGTGGAGGTACAATCTCGTTTTGAATATATCAACAGGAGGTGCTGATATTACGTATTCTGGTAGAGAATTCTAGTAATCCAGTACTCGGTGCGAGAGACGAAACTCCAGACGTAGACGATTTGATCTCGGTTTTTGAACTTTCCTTGAATGTCCTCTCAAATGATCAGTCCTAGACGGAACTAAAAGATAAGACAAATCAACACCAAGGTTATCGTTCAGTATACGATAAGCCAATATTAGATCATCCCGTATTCTACGGTAAGATAACGGAAATAAGTTAAGGTGTCTCAGCACACTTTAACTTAACTACGTCAGGTTCTAGAACACAGACACACATTCAGACGCCCCACAATGGTAGTATTTCTCGACCTTAAGGCGGCATTCGACTCTGTTGATCGTGAGGTTCTATGGCAGTGTTTGTCACTGAAAGGAGTACCAAACAAGTACATTAACCTTATAAAGGCTCTCTATTCGAACACAACTGGTAGAGTAAGAGCTTATGGTGAACTGTCATCAGAATTGATTACCTCAAGTGGTGTTCGTCAGGGCTGTCCACTCTCCCCATTCTTGTTCAACTTTGTGGTCGACGTACTTTTAGAGATAACACTCTCCTCATCTAAATTTACAGGGGTTGAACTTGTACCGGGAGGTTCACTTGTTGACTTAGAATATGCTGATGACATAGTTTTATTTGGTGAAGACGCTGACAAAATGCAGAGTCTTCTGGCCACTCTAAGCAACAATGAAAGCATGTTCGGGATGCGATTCTCCCCCTCGAAATGTAAAATGTTGCTTCAGGATTGGGTTGCATTAACACCCGAACTAATGATAGGGAGTGAAGTAATTGAGCGTGTCGATCGCTTCACTTATCTTGGAAGTCTCATCAGCCCTTGTGGTCTGGTGTGTGACGAAATCTCAGCACGGATACAGAAGACTCGACTAGCCTTTGCCAACTTGCGTCATTTATGGTGTAGGCGAGATATCCGTCTCTCAACCAAAGGACGTGTTTACTGCGCAGCAGTTCGTTCCGTCCTACTTTATGGCAGTAAAACATGGCCGGTAAGAGTAGAAGATATCCGTAGGCTACTAGTATTTGATCATAGGTGTCTTAGAAACATTGCTCGTATATCATGGGACCATCGAGTAAGTAACACAGTTGTTAGGAAACGGGTACTAGGTAAGGATGGCAAATCAGTTGATGAAGTAGTGAAACTTCATCAGTTGAGATGGCTGGGACACGTGTTACGTATGCCCAACGACCGACTGCCTCGACGTGCCATGTTCAGTGGTATAGGAGTAGGTTGGAAGAAAGCTAGGGGCGGCCAAACCAAAACATGGCACAAGTCCATGAAGTCACTGACAAGTGAACTGAGTCATGTTGGTAGGTGTAGACTACCTGGTTGGGGACCGCGAGATGATAGCAACCGATGGTTAGAGACCCTGAATGACATGGCTCAAAATCGTTTGCAATGGCGCAGGTGCATCCACTCTCTGTGTTCTCCCAAATTCTAATCTTCTGAATTCTTCATGTCCCTTTTTTCCTCTTTCCAAATTTATTTCACTGGATTATACTCTTTAACATCTCCAAACCCTAATCTTCCCGATTACTGCTTATGCTCTTATTACCTCTACCACTACGGGATTTGAATCGACAAGTGCATCTCTGTGCTAATGTGGTGTGGCAACTCGAACTGATGTACGTACGTACGAAGTTCTACGTTGTTACTGACTGGCTGACTAAGGTGTCTCAGCCTGTCTTCATAAGATAGGCCAGAAAGACCTTTTACCATCTTAGTACCTCGTCATTGGACTCTTTCCAGCATATCTGCTTCATACTTGAAACAAGGACTCGCTGCTTGGATCCCATATTCTAAATGTGGTCTCACGTAAATCGGGTATAAAAATTTAAACATTTCGTCATCTAAATACTGGAAAGACCTACAAATAGACCATCATGCCCTATAGCTTTTCGCAGCACCAGCCTTACAGTGACTATTAGTTTTAAGATCACTGCTTAATATAACTCCTAAATCTATAGTTTCTTACTTTGGGTAGCACGGATCCACATATTGTGTAGTGATACGATCCATCATAGTTATTTAATTGCATCACCACACTCTTATTAGGATTCACTTCTAGTGACCACCTGTCCAACCATACCACCAATAAGCTAAGGTCATCCTGTAATACTATTCTACCCGATATACTGTGTATTGGTCTCCAAATTTTTATGCCGTCGGCGAAAAGTAGAACGGATGATTTTGCTACAGTTTGTAATTCATTTACACAAAGTGAAAAGAGAGGAAGACCGAGGATTGTACCTTGGGGAACTCCACTTTTTACGGGTACCCACAATGAGGGGGCTCCATTAACCCTTACCTTTTGTCCTCTGTCATGGAGAAAGTCGCTCATCCAGTCTATGACCTGATAATGGATTTCAAAACTTTCCAGTTCTAATTTAAGACCAGAATGGGAGACCTTATCGAAGGCCTTACTTAGAACTATGAAAATCACATCTACATTAATATCCCGATATTTAGCCGCAGCCCAGTCTTCTCTTGCAATGAGATGTGTCAAACATGATAGGCCTCCCCGAAAACCATATTGCTCTCTGGAGAAAAGATTATGCCCTTGCACATAGTTTATAACAGATATACTGAAATGACTTGCGAATAGCCCATAAGACACTGAAGCCCGTGGCAATGGCAGTCTTGCAGTTACTCGTAGTTTTGTAGTTGTTTATTATGAATCTTAAATTTTTATAGTCCATTACTTAGGGTAACACAACTTCACGTATTGTGTAGTAATACGAGTCGTGGCAGTCATTTAATTGCGTTACCACACTCTCGTTAGAGTTGACTTCTAATGACCTATCTATTCATTTAACCATTGAATTTAGATTATCCTGCACTATAATTTTATCTGATATATTGTGTTTGGGTCTCCAAATATTTGTCATCTGCAAAGAGTAAGACTAATAAATTTACTACAGTTTTTAAGTCGCAAGTGGTTGAGGCATCTGAAGACCACTTGGATATCTCGGAAATTGTTCATATATAATAGTCTTTGCTGTGCTGATATGAATACAGTAGTCTTGAGTGCTGTTAGAGGTATGAGGGCGGTTATCACTTCCCGGTTGACAACACCGTGGAAGGATTCTTCTGAAGGTGCCTGAAAGGGAGAGCGTGACCGCACTGCCCAAGGGACAGCTGCTTGAGGTCGGTCAAACACGACATTTTTGTGAGTACTTTTTCGTGTTAGCTCTGTACTTGTTGAGACCTTACCGCCCGAGACGGATATCTATGGGATAAGGCGAGGTGTGTGTTTTTAGCGTCGACGTTTTCCAACCCCACCCTTCTTTGTGGGAAGGCAGCAACACTGTTATGCTGGTTGTCTGAAGGAAACACTGTACTGCCGTCGCATCTCTGTACAGTGAGCAGTACAGCTTGGCCTTCGGACCTTGGGTTTGTTGCTTTTAGTTTTACCGTTATTCAACAGACCTGTCTGGCATGGTAGGACCTTGAGGAACGATTGTTTCAGCCAGTATAGCTCGGTCGGTTCATCACGATAGGCAAGCCCGACCACCACGTCAAGGTAGCAACAACGGTCGGTCAGAATGGATCACAATCGCTTAGGTATATACACTCTTTGTCTTCTCTTAAACTATGAGACTAAAATCGCTTCATATATTTCTTTCTACGAACTAATCCTTTCTTTCTGTACTATATCCTTACACAAAATCTTTCCTGTATGTATTACACCATCGAGTTAACTGCTTCTATGAATCTGGTGTATATCCTGCTATGCTAATGAGGTATGGAAACTTGGACCGATGCATATATGTGCCTGGTCCTACGTTGTAACTGACTGACTGCTGTGTTGATATAGGGTCCTAAAGCTTTATCTGGTGAATCAGTTAGTCAGCTGCAACGTAGGACCAGGTTGACTGACTATATATGCATCGGTCCAAGTTGCCTTACCTCATTAGCACAATAAATTCATGGTAGTCACTTCATTAATAGTAATGTATAAAAGAAAGACATAATACAGAAAGAATTGGTTCGCGGAAAGAAAGATATAAAGCAGTTCTAATCTCACAGTTTAAAGGAAGACAAAGAGTGTATACACCGACGCCATTGTGATCGATTCTGAGCCATGTCTGGCGAATCATGCCGTTTTTTAGTGTTCCTTGTATTTCGTGCTTTCTCCAAGGGTCTGGAATTTTAATATGAAGTTTTTTGTTAATCGATTTCTTCAACGTCTATTGTGTTATGGGGGTTCTCCATTATTCAGATCAGTTGCTGGGTTGACGATTATGCTCAATGCATCATCAAGACCTTTGAGTTGCTCCATGTTATACACAACTTACTATTAGCCTTTCGGAAGTTTTCAGGGTATGTTCAGCACCTGAATTATCCTAAATATCGATAGAGGCCTTGTGGAACGGCATGCATTGTACAGCCAGTGTGTTTGTTGCTTGAAACATCTGTTATATGCAGCTGGAGTAAGCTCGGTGCTCATTTCATGGTACCACTTGTTACAGCTATTGCGTCCGATTCTTGATCGGGAAGAAACGTATAGGAGTGATGTTTTGTCTAGGTCATTTAACTTTATTAGTGGACTCAGTAAAACGTATTCCAAACCCAAGTGTTTTTCAGAACTAATGAAATAGTAAACACTAAAGATCGAAAAGTTTATATACTAAAACATTACGAGAAAACTTTCCCAAGTGAATCATTTAATTCAAAAGTGCAAATCACTCGATAAGTTTTCTCTACGCTCCCAAAAGGAATACAGTTTTGTGAACTGAGGTAAAACAGATACTTATACAAAACTGATACTTTTATAATATTTTGAATAAAAATGTAAGTCAATTAAAATAAAATCGACTTTTACGCGTTTAAACTTATCAAAGCTATAAGATATACCCAGTAAGCGAAAATGCCACAGGCATTTTTGAGCTATTTTAAAGTAGATTTTCATAATACTGTGTATCACTAAATGTTGAATTAAGGACTCCCCTAGAAAAGTAGCAAATCCAGAGTATATGCTGTATGTTATTCTATCTTAAGACCAATATTTTAGTTGTCACAAATTACTGCTCATCTGACTCAGTCACATTCATCTTGAATCCTTTCTCGGATGACATATCTTCAAATACTGTACACTGTCTGCTTATATCAAGGAAAAAACGTAATTAAAAACAGCAGCTATTTTACTTACTATATGGTAGAGCTTATTATCTACTATGTAAGTAATAACGATTCGTTTGAGAGGGTTGGGGTTTGGGGCACCACTCCTCGTATTCGTAAGCGTTGAAAATTAATTACTCGGTTAGAAAACCTATACGTCATAGAAATTTTGTTCGTTCTTGGCTTTTGAACTCATTTGCTACGTATTGTGAGTTGTTATAATTGAAAAAAGGAATATATCTGGTTCAAAATCATCCTTAACATCCCATATATCGAAACTTGATCACCTTTTGATCTTCAGTAACAGAGTAAAGAGGTTTAATTTCTAGGCCAACTGTGTATGACAAGCCTCAGGATTCCGACATATTTCTCAAAGTCCTTATGTCAAGCAAACCTTCTGAATTCTCCCCAAAACATAAAAGTCGATGTGGAAAAACTATCTGATTCACAGCTTGGTTTCCTAATGCCTAATGTGGATTGTGTGATGATTGGAAGATACTGATAATTGTGAAACATGTATCCTATTAATCTTCACATATATTTTGATTTAACACGTTTAGAATAGTGCGATGCTCTCAAATGCCCTGGTACGGCCGAGGGTGGGGAGAGTTCACCCTCTGGAAATACTCTTATATGACCACGCTTACACAGCCAATGTCAGGGCAGTTCTACTCACTATCTTTTCGCGGTGGGGTTGTTGTTTACGAAATTGAGAGGATGAAAAGCGAATATCCGACGCTTTAACCGGGTTGGTGGATATGGAGGGTTCACTTAGAGAAGTTGGAAAACCCTGAATCCAAACCAATAGCGCACATGGGCTCCAGTATCCTGAAGGAGCAAATGGTGTACGAACCAATTGTTAGTCACCGGATACCATGGGACTGTGTCTCCTAACGTTGCCTCACTGCCTTGTGGGTCTGATCTTTAGGTTGAAGGTTCTGGATGTATTTATTTATTTATTTCAACACACAAATATTAGTAGAAGAGGGCACCAAATATATATGCGCCACACCATATTTGTGTGTGTGTGGGCTGTGATACTGCTCGGGTGCCCAAATCGAAGCAGGTGGTTTTCTTAGGGGGCCACACTGAGCATTTGACCTAAAGGTCTGATCCACAAAGCAGTGGAGCATCGTGAGGAGATGCATTCCCATGGTAGCCGTTGACCAACGATTGGTTCATACGCCATTTGTTCCCGCAGGATACTGGAGCCCATGTGCACCATTGGTTTGGGATCCGGTTAAAGCTCCGGACATTCGCTTTTCGTCCTCTCATTTTCGTAAACAACACCCCCACCACGAGAAGGCAATGAGTAGGACTTCCCTGGCAGAGGTTGTATACGCGTGGCCGTGTGAGAGTATTTCGAGAGGGAGGGTGGACTCTCCCCACTCTCGGTCATACCAGGGCATTTGGGGGCATGATCTTACCTAAAAGTTCATGGTACGCTCAAAGTTAGTATTGCATGGTGTTTTTCAGGATTGTTATGTTATTGGCTCACCAACCTTTCTACTAATTCATTTTGATGATCAGCATGTAAGCGTGTCTTCGATTTACTCCGAGACAGCGTTATGAGTGTGCTCACTTTATATTCAATTACTATACATGAAACATTTTAACGATGGTTTTCTAAAGTATATAAGAACTTTCGTCCAAATTTAATGTAATAGTTTCACTGTATTTGGGCTCCGAGTTGATATGAGACATTAAGGAGAGAAAATGTATTTCTAAAATCTCGAATTCATTTGCTGAGATTTTACAAATACATCCTTCCTCCTTAAGGTTCTCTAAAGTGTTTATGTTGGTAGGATAGTTGGGACCCGAGAAACATAATGAGTGGTAAATTTGGGATCCTTTATGGACCAATACTAACCGTATATTTCTATTGTATAATTATTAAATAACTAAGCTATTTATATTCATGTTCCTCTTACTATAAGCTTTATTTTGACCTATGATTCATTAATATGCATTTTACTTTTCTTGAGTTATACCCAGTATATTGATTACTACCTTCCTCATTCACAGCCACATCTGGCTAATTCTTGTACAAATGTTGTTTCATATTTCATTGGTACGTTGTGGTCGGTTTGATTGGTATATAAACTCACTATGCTTGAAATATAATGATTCCTATCTCAGAGGCTGGGACTTGCATTCTGGACTTAACTGGCTGAGCTAGGCGGAAAGCAGGACCAACTAGAACTCTAGGCTGTTCTCACTTGTTTTACACGTCTTTGGTCTGATCGATAATTCACTGCTCTCTAATCTGCAGTTACAAGTTATAACAGTAGTTGATTTAGTTTTTTTTGTATGTATATTTTGATTTTAAACACAATTTTTAATTATACAGGTACAGAAGACAATGCAGTCGATAAAAAGAGTGAGACCATTTTTGGATTAAAATTTCAGATTTCTAATTTCAGAGTACTCTATTAACCGGATTGCCAGTTTCAAAAAATCCTCATATTGTAAATGCCTTGAGAATTTAACAAATCTCCCAATTTTAGATTCTAACATCACTTTACAAGCGTATAATCAAAGTGCTTGCTCTAATGCCTGAAGAATCCAGTTATCGTAGGCACACAAACGAAATAGTACAGTCCAGACTGAACGCTGTACAAAAAGTGACTTATTTAGTTGATGTTAATGCTTTCTGTTCTTAATAAAAGATTTCGGATATTCCCACTCTTGAATCTACCATTGATTGTGGTCAAATTGAAGAAGTTATCGTACAGGTAGGTATCGTTTAATGCTTCATTACTTTCACGATTAGTATTTGTAACGTTTTGTATCTCGACCGTATACGCTTATTGGTGTAGTGATACTAACGAATAATTCAAGTGGCTTCCAGTAACCTCTCAGTTACCCACTATCTCCGAACAACTTTATTAAGAAATTAACACAAGTTCCCAACTCTTAGTTGTGTCGAAAAGGCTGTAACTAATCTTAAATGAGGTAGACAAGCATCGCATAATGTATTAAATCCTTAAATGTTTGAGGATGATGGTTCATTTTTGGCTGCTACATTGACTGAGATATTAGCTGGAATCGGACGTAAACCCATCTGATTAGAGTCCATCTCTAACCGTTTCAGTTCGCAAGAAGGGAAAATAATTCTTGTGTGTCAGGCACAAAGGTATCAGTTTGGCTGAAATAGTGTTTGAAATATTGACTTCAATAACCGTCTGACATTTAACTGGGTTTCGTGAACAGCAAACCCAGGAAAACCTTATTGATTTCAAATGTGGTTGAAAATGTGTAGATCAAATATTTACCCTTTGTTGGGGGCGATAGATCCACAAAACTCATATTTTATAATTTTATCTTATCGATTAACTTATCGATCAAATGTTTGAATATTTGAATAGCAGTCAATTGATAAACCTATTGATTAAATGCTTAAAAATATCGATTATATATATTTGTATGAATACGCTTGATTTGTGTGCTTGACCTGGTGTTTTCTGGTTGCCTGTAGAATACAATTTCTACGCCTTAACAAGACTTCTTGATCGCGTTAGCTGAGTCGGGGACAACGGACCAGAATAGCCTATCGAGATTCTGAATTCCTTGATCTGATCGATAAGTCACTGCCCTCTAATCAGCGGCCTTTGAGATATAACACCCTTCGCCAGGCAAACCTACCAATGCTGGACTATAATGGTATTTCTTGGCATTAGGGCAGCGTTCGACTCTGTTGATCTAGATTTTCTGTGGTAGGGTCTTTCATTAAAATATATACTAAGGAAGTTCGTAGTATATATATATATATATATATATACCCAGTGTGTAATTCTGAGGTTAAGCATATGGTGCTATATAAAGGTAGCCAGTCAGTTAATACTGTAGTAAATCTTCATCAACTGAAGTGTTTGTGATATGTAATACATTCTCCCAACCATTCTCTACCTCGACCTGCACCTCCAGACAGACACCTTGCAAATCAACAAGATCCCTACAACCGATCCACTACCTTCTTATCCCAAGCGTCAACGGCAGCAGAGAGAGCGCTAACCGGCCATCCGCGTAGCTCCATCTAGATTATCGGAGCCACGCTTTCACTGGCAACAATGTCCGCCAATCTCTAGTCCTTGTCGTCTTTACCAAACCGACCGAGCCTCTCAAAGGCCCACATTAAGCCGGTGGATCGATCCAGTTACGGCAGGTACCTCTCGAGTGCATGTGTTACTATGAGGTTGACTTCACGCGCCTAAGTGGACGGGATAAAACCAACGTAAGCTAAGCCTCTCCACCACACTAATCTTGAATGGCTGATGCAGATGGGTAGAAGTCGGATGTGGTTGAGCGCAACCATACATATCGCTATGCCGAGCACCTTATTGGACGCACAACGGTCTCGACTCTACTCCGCACGTATATTCGTGTCACATGGGACGGGTACTCTAACGAAGTCCGTAGCTACTCAATCAAATACCAGACATCCATAACTTAAAACGCCCCATAGGCATCGTAACATATCAATGAACCGATAATGGTCTGTTCTCATAGCCAAGACGCAGCCTACTTTCTCACTCCCACTCCTAGCAATACACCCTCAGAACGCCTATCTAGTATGCCACACATCGTTATTACAATGGGTAGGTGACACACCACTCTCGTACTCAGAAGGAAGATCTTACGAAACTTTGCATTCAACTCTCTTGTGTTATACTTTCATGTTTTAACATTCCACGATGTTCTCAGCCGATCATAACTACATACAATGCAACATATATTTCATCTCATTTACACATAGGTTTTCCCATTGCGTATGGGAGGTTCTCGGGTCACCGAAAACGCTGAACGTCTCAACGAATCTTCCAACTTCTCAATCACTCAATTATGCCTAGCGATAAGCAATCGCTGGGCATCTTTACAGTTTTAGAGGATATGTGTCGAGGATCCTACTTTATTACACCGACCTTTGCATCTCAGATTACCAGGATCTCTACCAATTCTACATCCTCTTACCTTAGTACTTAGGGTATGACCTCTTAGTTGAATAGTTTTCCTATACATCCAGGTAAACATCTACGTGGCCCATAAGGCAATGATGCACTCTGACTTGAGACTTAAAGACGTCTACCCTTTTGAGTTCCATATAATCGCGTTTTCAACGCTGCAAATATGTCATCTGTGTTTGATACCAACATGTCGCCAAGAGTCACAACACCGATAAATTTTTTTCAATCTGTTTATAGGCCTTTGATTACCAGATGGCATGCAGTAACTCACAGCTTCATAAATACAAGTTGAATCGTTAAGAATGTCGGATTGGTACCGTAGTGTATAGAGGTTCGACCCCGATTCTGCCATCACTAACTCGAGCATGAAAATAGCTTTTAACTGTATCGTGGGGTAACTTCAGTCACTGTCTCACTCGCTTGTGGACTTAAATATCCACCTTTTCAAGATCTGCTTTACCTGCTAAACCTATTTGTACCATGTAACGTAACTTAAGTATTGCATACTACTTTAGCACCATCATCCGTTGGATCGCCGGCAATGGAGAGTCCGCGATCTCCAATAACATATCCTGTTTCATAATAAGTATTGGTTGGTGCACAATCCTACGGTATTCAAAACATATACTCAGATACTTGAATTAGTATATATATATATATATATATATATATATATATATATATATATATATATATATATATATATAATTTCACGTATTGATAGAGATTTCGACAGACAGAATTATCTAATATCCAAATAATCGTGTATCAATAGATTCACAAGGTAATTTGCCCATAACTTTTCTTTTCTACACTCTGTGTTGTTAATTTTTTTCTTGACATGTTAATATAGGCCCAAAGAGAATACGATTTAGCTCGTAATATGCTCAAATGGAAGCCTTGGGAACCGCTCATTGAAGAAGCTCCTCGCGATCAGTGGAAATGGCCACTTTAAATAACCTTATTTAATATTTTAGTATACAAAGTACAATGTGTTGTAGATATACATTTTATTGTACTACATATTAATTTTTCTTCTCTTCATCTCAGTGGGCAACATTGCTATGTTTTCAGCGATTACGAGTTCACCTAGTCTGCGAACGGAACAAACACTCTTTGACCAAAGACCAATGAGCTAGCTATTCTGATGCGTCCCAGCCCCGCTAACTAGAGAGAGAAGCCCATGTTCGAGACGGGGAAATATATTCCGCAAGCAGCCAGAAGCACGAGCAATAACAACAGGCACAAGTTAAACATATATATACAGCATAAAATTATCATCAGGAAGCGTTACAAAATAGCATACTAAAAGATTTAACGAACCAATAGCGTTTAAGATTCTCCCAAGTGGGAAATATGACACGAAGGTAGAAATGAGCGCTTTTGACGAGGAAACAAGAAATTCTATTTTTAAAATAAATAAGGTATTTTCCAATTGAGTTCTGGGGATCTAACATCCTCAACACCCCTTTCTAATAACGTTCGTTCCTGGGGTCCACTTGCGTCTTGGACATCTGTCACCGTTGTCTGAGTGACCTCCATCTGGATCGTACGTCGACCTGTCAATGTGCTTCTTCCTGTGTTGGGACTACGAGTGGATTAAAGGTATCTATTAGGATGTCCAGCAGGAGACTTCCTTCTGTCGATGGGCGAACTGGAGCTAGCCGCTTACGTAGCTGGTTCCGATATCGAGTTCATCTGTCTCTCCCCACCTCTACCTCGTACATGGCCTAGTTTTCCGACCACATGTGCTTCTGTCCAGGGACCATGATTCGGTATGTAGTCCCTAGCGAACACCGGACATCCAATTTCGTACGTTGGCAGCTTCTGGGACTTGGTCTGTGATGGCGATGCTTTGGTTCTCGGAAGCATCAGATTGTGGATCGTCCACGATTTTTTTTCCCATGAGGATCTCTGCCGGAGACTTCTGCTCTGGTAACATGTCACTAGATGTTGTTCGGTAGACGAATAAGAAGTTCTGGAGTATTTCCACTGGCATCCCCTCCCCTTTCGACTTGATTAGAGCTTTCTTGAATGTATCCACTAATCTTCCTGCTTGGCCGTTTGACTGTGGGTGGTAAGGTGAAGAGCGGAGATGCTTAGTGGATAGCCGTTGGTAAAAATGTTGGAACTGAGTTGAGGTGAACTGCGAACCATTGTCTGGTACAATTACATCCGGTAATCCGTTGCGTCAGAACATTCCGTCAAGAGTAGTATCGTTTCGGTAGTCGTTGTTGGCTTGGTGGAAACGATTTCTAGCCATTTTGAAAAGGCGTTGACCATGACTAGATAGACGGTTCCATTGATTGGACCGGCGGAACTGACATATATCCTGAACCAGGGATACTCAGGCTGTGGCCACGGGACCGGCGGCTTGCATTTGCCTGGTAAATCCACGATGTGTTGGTCCATGAGGGGCCAATAAGCATAGCTTTTGGCGATGGATTTCATTCATTTTATAACAGGTTGAACAATGTGGAACTGCTTTAGCACCCTTGATCGTAGAGACTCTGGTACCACCACTCTATCTCCAAACACCAAGCATTCATTCACGACACAATGAGTCCTGATGGTAGTGAAGCTGCTTCATGTCGCCATCCAATCCAGTTGACGGTCAGCCATTGGTGACGTAGTTCATCGTTCTCTTAATGTTGGGGTCATTTCTCGGAGGTGGTTTGTATCTCAGATGCTGAAACTGGCAAGGCACGAACAGCAGTTGTCAGGTAACAATGCGCGTGATCTTCTGTCATAAGGGAGGTAATAATTGCATCTTCATCGGCTGTAAGGTGTTCGCTGATAAGTCGTGACAAGGCGTCTGTCTGATCAAACCGTTGGGTGAGCCGATACCGAATGTCAAAATCATAACCCAAAAGTATCAAAGACCATCGCTGGAGACGGTTTGTAGAGTGGGCTGGAACACCAGATCTCGAACCGAAAATTGTGGAAAGAGGCTTGTGATCAGTTAGAAGAGTAAATTTTCGACCGTACTGGAATTTGTGGAAACGGCGTACTGCAAACACAAGGGCGAGAGCCTCTTTATCTATCTGGCTGTACTTTCTTTCTTCTGGAGTTAATGTGCGAGATGCATGCATAATAGCTTTCACTGTCGTGTCCGGTAACTGGTGTGAGATGACAACACCGAGTCCAACAGCTGAAGCATCTGCAGCCACAACGATTGGCATGGATGGATCGTACTGTGTCAATAATAGTTCAGAGCTAATGATTATTTTCAGTTTGCAAAAGACAGCTTCACACTCTTTTTCCCATTTCCAACTAGTATTCCTATTCAAAAGATAATTTAGTGGAGTGCGTACGTCATGCAACGACGGAACGGAAGCTGAGTTGTAACTGACTAATCCCAGAAATGAGCGGAGATGTTGGTAGGAGTGGGCATCACTCTTATGGCTCGGATATTTTCAGGGTCTGGTCTGTGACCTGCAACATCAAAGATGAATTTCAAATATTTTACTGACTTCAAGAAAAGCTGGTATTTTTCTGAGCGTAACCGGTATCCGTTATCGCAGATGCTTTGTAGTACAGCTGTCGTGCGTTCTTGTAGCTGTTCTGACTATGTGGCAACAATTAAGATGTCATCGAGATAAGTTGTCACCCCCGGAATACCCGATAGGATGGTATCCATTAGCTGCTGGAAAATAAATGAAACGGTCTTAACTCCAAACGGTAGGCGATTATACTGAAAGAAGCCACTATGAGCATTAATAGTAAGTAGCTCTTTCGATTCTTCGGCCACTTCCATTTGTAAATTGGTATCAACAAGATCCAGCTTTGCAAAGAACTTTCCGCCATTTAGCATAGTAAACAAATCTACAGGGCCTAGCAGTGGGTAATGATGCTGCTTGAGAGCTGGGTTAAGACCTGTGGAAAAATCTGCGCATATTCGGGTTGTGCCATTAGCCTTCTTAATAACTAGAATGGATGCTGCCCAAACATAATATGTAACATGTGTGATAACTCCCTGTAGTTGAAGACGATCAAGTTCTTAATCAACTTTTGATAATGCTGAGTATGGCACTGTGTTTTTTGGACGGAAAGCAGGTTTAGCTCAAGGTTTCAACCGAAGTGTTGCTTTCATAGCAGAGCACCGAACCAAAAGCAGGCTGGGAAATGGTCGAAAACTCCGTCATTAGTTTCTTCGAATATGCTCCAGGTTCATGGGGTTGTTTCACCAAATGGCATACGGTGCTTAACGGAATGTCAGCTAAATGCAGCTGGTCAAATCAATCTAAACCAAGTAAATTAAGATCAGCTGGTGCTATGTAACATACCCCGGTGAACGTTGAATCGCGAGAAGACACTTTACAATCTAGATGTCCCAACAAACGTAGGGGGTTACCGCATACAGTACGAGGTTTTGTATTGTTGGCAGCGCGTGTGGTCTGCCCATTTTGATCCAAGATTTTCGTGAGAGAATCGGCACGTCAGATGCAGTGTCTATCCGCAATCTAAGCGGATGCTCGTTAATATTAAGGGTAATAAATTTCCTCTAACCTGGGGTTGAGCTCTGATAGGTTGCTACTAGACTCAATAAATTTGTGTTGCAGGATCTAGGAACAGCCTTTCTGGAGATATTCGGCCTTTATTTTGACATGATCCATCTTTATGGATCACGGCTTTACACTTCCTGCAACGATGTTGTTTACAAGAGGAGCTTCAATGGGGATGTTAGATCCCCAGAACTCAATTGGAAAATACCTTATTTATTTTAAAAATAGAATTTCTTGTTTCCTCGTCAAAAGCGCTCATTTCTACCTTCGTGTCATATTTCCCACTTGGGCGAATCTTAAACGCTATTGGTTCGTTATATCTTTTAGTATGCTATTTTGTAACGCTTCCTGATGATAATTTTATGCCCAGGTTATTTCAAACCACATGGAAACCATAAATTTGTTTCCGCCTTACAGTTTGCATCAGAGGGTACTCCCACCCTTTCCTCCTGGGTAAATTCCCCAATCAACTTCACTAGCTCATTTGATACATCTCCCACTAAGTCTAGCTATCAAAATACCGAGCTAATGAAGAACATCCAATCCCTCACATCAATCTCATCTCACACCCGCGAGGGTTACGACGACTTTATCCGAGATACCCTCACCCATTTTAACTTAGTAGGCCACTTGCTTAATATATGTCTTATCAACGCTCGATCGATCTGCAACAAAAAGACGGATTTAGCCCTGTTTGTATCCATATATCAACCATCACTTATTATATCTGAAGCATGGACTAACAGTAATATTTCCGACCGAAGTATATCTGTTGATAGCTATTTTCTATATAGAAGCGATAGATTGAATGGACGAGGCGGAGGATGCCTTATTTACGCTCACTCTAGCCTGAACTCACTGCTATGTGATATGCCTGAACTAAACAAACTGAAGGATTCGGTGTGGATTGTATTAAAGCCGTCGAATTCCCTTACCTTACTGCTCGGCTGTGTTTATCGTCAACCTAACGCATCAATAGATGAAATAGCAGTATTATCGGAGGTATTCACACTAGCATCATCCCTCCCATTCACAGGCAAGCTCATTTGTGGTGACTTCAATATGCCCGAAATTTCTTGGCTGCCAGTCAAAGCGCCGAGACGTTATGAATCATTTATTGAATGTCTAGAGCTTGGACAATGGACTCAGTATGTCGATAGCCCTACCAGACATCAAAACATCTTAGACTTAGTCTTTACCAGTGGCCTCATCCCCAATACTTTGTATATTGGAAAAAAGTTCCCAGGTAGTGATCATAACATTGTCATATGCAGCCTTAATGTAAAAACCACAACCGATAGAAACAAAACCGTAACACTTCGTAGAAACTATCGCAAGGTTGACTGGAATAACTTCCACAATTACCTAAGAAGCACTGATTGGAGAACTTTCTTTACCTCAAACAATACCGACACATTAACCAATATATTTTATCACAACATCAAAAGTATCGTCTACATCGCACCTTTAGAATACTGTAAACCTACGTTCTTCAAAGATCTCTATATAACGGTCAG